ACAGAAAGGAAGAGAAAGGGATAGAGAGTTAGAAACATCGATCAGCTGCCTCCTGCACACCTCCTACTGGGGAATGTGCCTGCAACCAAGGTACATGCCTTTGACCGGAATCGCAGGCCGACGCTCTATCCACTGAGCCAAACCGGTTAGGGCTTAATATTATATTTTGATGTCATTATTACTTATGTCTCCTACAGGCAATACCTATGACCAACTTTTAGTGTTTATTCGGCTTACAGCATTAGAAGAGAGGCAATCATATATCTGGGCTTTGTTTTCCAGTTTTTCTCTATTGTTTATCCGATTAGGTCACTTGATTAATTCTTTCTCTTCCACATTCTTTTAACTCAATATTACTTTAGACATGCATACACTCTCACTAAAGTCAAAGTGATCTGAGGTTTAGTTAAACTATGCAGTACATACAATTTTAATAGGCTATTAGAACAACGATAGAGCTAGAACCAGCAGGAACTGGCGCACAGAAACAGGCCAGTGTCCTCAAAGTTTTCTAAAACTCAGGCCTGCTAACTCCCAGTACATCCTGAATATAGCAAACCAGAAATTAGCAAAACATGCATTGACAGTGGAATATGCTAGTGAGTATATTAATACATAAGTGTACTTACTGAGGCAAACCAGACAGGCTTCAGCATTCTGCTACTAAGCTTGTCACACTACTTTCCATGAACATCTTTTAGCTTAGATTGCACTTGTGCAGATCTTAAAATCGCAAAAAGTAGTTCTTTCCTACAACAATCCATGCAAACAATTTCACTACAAAGGCTACCTTCCTCTCCTTAGTCACATCTACTCCTGAAAGTTACATTTTCTGGAGGACTTTTCACCAGGCCTTATTTTCCCCTTTGCAGTGTCCGGGGTCTTAGGTACAGATACTGTAGATCTCACTTAAATATTTCCTTTCCGCCGACATCAATAAAATATACCCTGGGATGTCCCCAGCAGGGAAGGCACAACTATTTCTTGAAGCACTTATGTTAAGTGGGTTGTATAACACAAGGTACCACAATGTCGTTTTTTGAAGTTGGAACTGGAGATGTTTGATTACAGATTAAGTAATGGACCAAGTTAGTTTAGTGAAGGTATTTTAAAAACCAAGTGTTATCCTACTCCCCCAGCCCCCTTCCCCCCCCAAAATTAAAACGCACAAAAAACTGTTATCACATGTAGTCAACTTAAAATCATACAACATTGCCGTGTCAGTTTTATTTCCTGTCTAGGCCGATGATGGCACTAGCAGGGAGCGTGGTGGAGAGAATGAATGAGAACAGGTCACAGCGCGGGATGACAGTCGCGCTCTGGATTGAAAAGGACGCAGAATATTTGACCTGCATCTCAATTCCTCCATCATTCCAGCCGCCCAGGCACCTGGCAGGGCACCGGGACACTGTCAGGCCGGCTTCTCCGGGGGAACCGGCCAAGCAAAAGGACAAAACACAGCTGCCAGGCTCTGTGCTTTATGCCGAGCCTGGCTTTGAATGACCGTAAGTGTTTTGTTTACACATCGCGTAATTCACACAATTCTACGGGGCAGGCGGTTCCGGACCCCGTTTATTTCACAGAAGAGGAAACTGGATCCTCGGGAAGCGCGGGTCGGGTGGCCAGGACAAAGGCACCCGGTTAGTCCGACTCCGCAGCCTCCGTTTTTGGACGCAGAACTTAGAACGACAGAGAGACCAAGCGGGAATCGGAATCGGGGTCACGACGCCTCCGATCCGCATCCGAACGCCGTGCGGCCTCCTCTTTCTCCGAGGGGCTTCCGGAAAGCCCGCGGGCTGGGGGTGGGCGCGCTGCCGGAAAAGGGCCAGGAGACCCGCCTCC